GCAATGTAGTGCCCGTGGGGAGGGCAGTAGCACAGGCAGGGCAGAGACCCCAGACGCACCTTCAGTCTCTCAACCCTGCTGGAAGGTAAGACCACCCTCTCAGATCCACCCACGACACAAGGTGTGACCTGAGTCGAGCTACATGTGCATCTGGCTGCACACACCCATGCAGGTCGAACCCGAGGACACAAGGCTCCCCTTCTGCCAGCCACAGCCCTTTGGGGCCCAAGTGAGGGAAGCATGGGCTGAGGTCAGGCAGGGAGAGGGCAGAGGACAGCACAGAGGGGTGGGGGACTTTGCCCGTGTTCACCAGAGAAGTCAATTTTGCATGGAGCATCTTCTGGCCCTGACCCAAGCTCATGCCCGCCTCCTTCTAAACTGTCACCACCTCCTGCCCCATATCCTGCCTGTCTTCTCCTCCTGCCCGATCTCCTGCTCCTGCACCATCTCCTCCTCCTCCCCATCTCCTCCTCCTGCCGATCTCCTTCTCTGCCTACTCCTGCCCCATCTCCTCCTCCTCCCCATCTCCTTCTCTCCCTCCTCCTGCCCCATCTCCTCCTCCTCCCCCATCTCCTCCTCCTGCCCCATCTCCTCCTCCTCCCCCATCTCCTCCTCCTCCCCATCTCCTCCTCCTCCCCATCTCCTCCTCCTCCCCCATCTCCTCCTCCTCCCCATCTCCTCCTCCTCCCCATCTCCTCCTCCTCCCCCATCTCCTCCTCCTGCCCCATCTCCTCCTCATGCCCCATCTCCTCCTCCTGCCCCATCTCCTCCTCCCCATCTCCTGCTCCTCCCCATCTCTTCCTCCTCCCCCATCTCCTCCTCCTCCCCCAATTCCTCCTCCTCCCCCATCTCCTCCTCCTGCCCCATCTCCTCCTGCCCCATCTCCTCCTGCCCCATCTCCTCCTCCTCCCCATCTCCTCCTCCTCCCCCTCTCCTCCTCCTCCCCTCTCCTCCTCCTCCCCTCTCCTCCTCCTCCCCCTCTCCTCCTCCTGCCCTCTCCTCCTCCTCCCCCTCTCCTCCTCCTGCCCCTCTCCTCCTCCTGCCCCTATCCTCCTCCTCCCCCTCTCCTCCTCTCCCCTCTCCTCCTCCTCCCCCTCTCCTCCTCCTCCCCTCTCCTCCTCCTCCCCTCTCTTCCTCCTCCCCCTCTCCTCCTCCTCCCCTCTCCTCCTCCTCCCCATCTCCTCCTCCCTCTCCTCCTCCTCCCCCTCTCCTCCTCCTCCCCTCTCCTCCTCCTCCCATCTCCTCCTCCCCTCTCCTCCTCCTCCCCTCTCCTCCTCCTCCGCATCTCCTCCTCCTCACTCTCCTTCTCTCCCTACTCCTCCCCTCTCCTCCTCCTCCCCTCTCCTTCTCTCCCTCCTCCTCCTCCCCCTCTCCTCCTCCTCCCCATCTCCTCCTCCTCCCCTCTCCTTCTCTCCCTCCTCCTCCTCCCCCATCTCTTCCTCCTCCCCATCTCCTCCTCCTCCCCTCTCCTCCTCCTCCCCCTCTCCTCCTCCTCCCCATCTCCTCCTCCTCCCCTCTCCTCCTGCCCCTCTCCTCCTCCTCCCCTCTCCTCCTCCTCCCCCATCTCCTCCTCCTCCCCTCTCCTCCTCATGCCCCTCTCCTCCTCCTGCCCCTCTCCTCCTCCCCATCTCCTCTCCTCCCCTCTCTTCCTCCTCCCCCTCTCCTCCTCCTCCCCCATCTCCTCCTCCTCCCCCTCTCCTCCTCCTCCCCATCTCCTCCTGCCCCATCTCCTCCTCCCCATCTCCTCCTCCTCCCCCTCTCCTCCTCCTCCCCCTCTCCTCCTCCTGCCCCATCTCCTCCTCCCCCCTCTCCTCCTCCTCCCCCTCTCCTCCTCCTCCCCATCTCCTCCTCCTCCCCTCTCCTCCTCCCCTCTCCTCCTCCTCCCCATCTCCTCCTCCTCCCCCATCTCCTCCTCCTGCCCTCTCCTCCTCATCCCCTCTCCTCCTCCTGCCCCATCTCCTCCTCCCCATCTCCTGCTCCTCCCCATCTCTTCCTCCTCCCCCATCTCCTCCTCCTCCCCCATCTCCTCCTCCTCCCCCATCTCCTCCTCCTGCCCCATCTCCTCCTCCCCCATCTCCTCCTGCCCCATCTCCTCCTCCTGCCCCATCTCCTCCTCCTCCCCCATCTCCTCCTCCTGCCCCATCTCCTCCTCCTCCCCATCTCCTCCTCCTCCCCCATCTCCTCCTCCTGCCGCATCTCCTCCTCCTCCCCATCTCCTCCTCCTGCCCCATCTCCTCCTCCTGCCCCATATCCTCCTCCTCCCCCATCTCCTCCTCGTGCCCCATCTCCTCCTCCTCCCCCATCTCCTCCTCCTGCCCCATCTCCTCCTCCTCCCCATCTCTTCCTCCTCCCCCATCTCCTCCTCCTGCCCCATCTCCTCCTCCTGCCCCATCTCCTCCTGCCCATCTCCTCCTCCTCCCCCATCTCCTCCTCCTCCCCATCTCCTCCTCCTGCACCATCTCCTCCTCCCCATCTCCTCCTCCTCCCCATCTCCTCCTCCTCCCCATCTCCTCCTCCTGCAACATCTCCTTCTCTCCCTACTCCTGCCCCATCTCCTCCTCCTCCCCATCTCCTTCTCTCCCTCCTCCTCCTCCCCCATCTCCTCCTCCTGCCCCATCTCCTCCTCCTCCCCATCTCCTCCTCCTCCCCATCTCCTCCTCCTGCCCCATCTCCTCCTCCTCCCCATCTCCTCCTACTCCCCCATCTCCTCCTCCTCCCCATCTCCTCCTCCTGCCCCATCTCCTCCTCCTCCCCATATCCTCCTCCTGCACCATCTCTTCCTCCTCCCCATATCCTCCTCCTGCACCATCTCCTCCTCCTCCCCCATCTCCTCCTACTGCCCCATCTCCTTCTCTCCCTCCTCCTCCTCCCCATCTCCTCCTCCTCCCCATCTCCTTCTCTCCCTCCTCCTCCTCCCCCATCTCCTCCTCCTGCCCCATCTCCTCCTCCTCCCCATCTCCTCCTCCTGCCCATCTCCTCCTCCTGCCCCATCTCCTCCTCCCCCATCTCCTCCTCCTGCCCCATCTCCTCCTCCTCCCCATCTCCTCCTCCTCCCCATCTCCTCCTCCTGCCCCATCTCCTCCTCCTCCCCATCTCCTCCTCCTCCCCTATCCTCCTCCTCCCCATCTCCTCCTCCTCCCCATCTTCTCCTCCTGCCCATCTCCTCCTCCTGCCCCATCTCCTCCTCCTCCCCATCTCCTCGTCCTCCTCCATCTCCTCCTCCTGCCCATCTCCTCCTCCTGCCCCATCTCCTCCTCCTCCCCATCTCCTCCTCCTCCCCTCTCCTCCTCCTCCCATCTCCTCCTCCTGCCCATCTCTCCTCCTCCCCATCTCCTCCTCCCCCCCATCTCCTCCTCCTCCCCATCTCCTCCTCCTCCATCTCCTCCTCCTCCCCATCTCCTCCTCCTCCCCATCTCCCCTCCTCCCCATCTCCTCCTCTCCCCATCTCCTCCTCCTCCCCTCTCCTCCTCCTCCCCATCTCCTCCTCCTCCCCATCTCCTCCTCCTCCCCATCTCCTCCTCCTCCCCCATCTCCTCCTCCTCCCCATCTCCTCCTCCTCCCCCTCTCCTCCTCCTCCCCATCTCCTCCTCCCCATCTCCTCCTCCTCCCCATCTCCTCCTCCTGCCCCATCTCCTCCTCCTCCCCCATCTCCTCCTCCTCCCCCATCTCCTCCTCCTGCCCCATCTCCTCCTCCTCCCCATCTCCTCCTCCTCCCCCATCTCCTCCTCCTGCCCCATCTCCTCCTCCTCCCCATCTCCTCCTCCTCCCCCATCTCCTCCTCCTGCCCCATCTCCTCCTCCTCCCCATCTCCTCCTCCTCCCCCATCTCCTCCTCCTCCTCCATCTCCTCCTCCTCCCCATCTCCTCCTCCTGCCCCATCTCCTCCTCCTCCCCATCTCCTCCTCCTCCCCCATCTCCTCCTCCTCCCCATCTCCTCCTCCTCCCCATCTCCTCCTCCTCCCCATCTCCTCCTCCTCCCCCATCTCCTCCTCCTCCCCCTCTCCTCCTCCTGCCCCATCTCCTCCTCCTGCCCCATCTCCTCCTCCTCCCCCATCTCCTCCTCCTCCCCATCTCCTCCTCCTGCCCCATCTCCTCCTCCTGCCCCATCTCCTCCTCCTCCCCATCTCCTCCTCCTGCCCCATCTCCTCCTCCTCCCCCATCTCCTCCTCCTGCCCCATCTCCTCCTCCTCCCCCATCTCCTCCTCCTGCCCCATCTCCTCCTCCTCCTGCCCCATCTCCTCCTCCTCCCCATCTCCTCCTCCTCCCCCATCTCCTCCTCCTTCCCCATCTCCTCCTCCTCCCCCATCTCCTCCTCCTGCCCCATCTCCTCCTCCTGCCCCATCTCCTCCTCCTGCCCCATCTCCTCCTCCTCCCCCATCTCCTCCTCCTCCCCATCTCCTCCTCCTGCCCCATCTCCTCCTCCTGCCCCATCTCCTCCTCCTCCCCATCTCCTCCTCCTGCCCCATCTCCTCCTCCTCCCCCATCTCCTCCTCCTGCCCCATCTCCTCCTCCTGCCCCATCTCCTCCTCCTCCCCATCTCCTCCTCCTCCCCCATCTCCTCCTCCTGCCCCATCTCCTCCTCCTCCTGCCCCATCTCCTTCTCCTCCCCATCTCCTCCTCCTCCCCATCTCCTCCTCCTCCCCCATCTCCTCCTCCTCCCCCATCTCCTCCTCCTGCCCCATCTCCTCCTCCTGCCCCATCTCCTCCTCCTGCGCCATCTCCTCCTCCTGCCCCATCTCCTCCTCCTCCCCCATCTCCTTCTCCTGCCCCATCTCCTCCTCCTCCCCATCTCCTCCTCCTGCCCCATCTCCTCCTCCTCCTCCATCTCGTCCTCCTCCCCCATCTCCTCCTCCCCCATCTCCTCCTCCTGCCCCATCTCCTCCTCCTGCCCCATCTCCTTCTCTATCTCCCAGCTCCAGCCCCTGCTCTCCTCTGACCCCCTGGCAGGGAACCCCTCCCGGTCATCCACAGGGCCGCAGCGCCTCCAGGTGGCCGCCTGTCCAGTGCACCCAGGGCGGGCTGGCAGGGACAAAGTGGGCGGCCCCCGCGGCCCCTCCTTCTGTCCCCTCCCTTTCTCCTGCCCACTCGGCAGCCGCATCTGGGGCGGTCAGGACTCAGAGCTTCCTCGGGCCGTGTCCAGGCAGCCAGGTAAGCGCCGCCACCGCCGGGCCGCGCCATCGGTGGGCCCAGCGTGGGCCTGGGTGAGCTGTCCGAGAGGCGCAGCAGGCAGGGCTCTAGCCTCTGGGCGCCTGCCCTGAGCCCGCCTGGCGCCCGCCCTGGCTGTTCTCCCCGCAGCACCTGGGGCAGCAGGCTGCGGAGGGGACCCGCTCTCAGAGGACCCGGGACAGCCCGACTCCCTCCCCGACAGGGTGTGCCACAGGTTCGGTTTATCCCTGCCTGGAAACGTGGGAGAGCTGAGGAGCCCAAACCGCCTCATGGGAAGACCCCCCTTACTTGGACCTGGGCACAGGTCCTGCGGTGCTGGCCACTCTTCTGGGCACTGGGAAGAGGCTCCTCCTGCTGGAAGGAGCACTGTGGCCCTGGGAGCTCCTGGGCAGCTGGGGGAGGGGGTCCTGCGGAACTGAGAGCCCTGCAGCTACGCCCTGCCCACAGTGGGGCCCCTGTGAGCCTCGGGCCGAGCCCAGGAGGATGGTGCTGCCACCCACCCTAGAACCAGGGGAGCCCTACCCCCAGCACCCGCAGGCTAGGAGGACTGCCCCAGAGAGGGACCAGCCTGGCTGGGGCTCACATGGGAACCTCAAGGACCCAAACAGAAGGCCTGAGACCCACGGACTTCCCTGTTCCTCAGTCTGGCGTGCAGGCCCCTCACACTTGCCAAAAAAAGGAAAGGTGGGGTTTATGCCCTGCCTTCTTTCACAAAGGCCAGAGGCAAGGCAGGCCCCAGGCCCCTTGGAGAGAAGATGCAGGCTGCGTTGGTGGGGGTGGGGGTGGGGGCTGCTGCTGCCAACGCACACAGGGCGTGGTCCTGGGCCCAGGGGCCCTTGGCCAGAGTGACACCAAGTTTCCCAGGGCAGGCTGGAGGGGCCGAGCACTGGGCCGTGTGTCCCTCTGCAGGGTGTGTGTGTCTTGGAAAGTGAGCCCCCACACGTGTCTGGTGCATGCAAGCGGGTGGGGAAGCTGTTGCAGGCCTTGGGGGAGGCAGGCGCCCAGGGGACAGTCCAGGCGCACTTCACCTGGCCCCTTATCCCTCCTCGATGAGCGTGGCTCCAGCCCCAGGCACTGGTGTCAGCCACCCCCAGGGGCCATGGCACCAGAGGGCCTCAGGGGCAGCTCCCGGAGTCCAGGGTGGAGGGGGATGGCCTGCACCTAGAAGGGGCGGGGGTTGTCACAGGGTCAGCACAAGGACCCACCACCCGAGAGGGGCCTTCGCTTCCTCGTGTTAGAACACTGCAGGGCGGTGGGCAGACCCCGGCACACCACACCACAGGCTCACACTGCAGAACCCTGTTCAAAGGCTGCGGAAGCCGCTCTTGTGATGATCTTAAGGAAACACAAACGGTGAGATGCTTCCCTTTTCCACGGCCTCCACGGCCTCCACGGCCTCCATGGCCCTCTGCCTCTCTTACGCATTCACACAAAGCCGGGGACCCTGGTGTAGGACCTGGGACAGCAGGGGCCGTGGAGTGCTCCTCATAGCCGGCCTGGGAGCCGGGTCCCTATCCTCAGGACACACTGGGATCAGGCCACGTTAGAAGCAGCATTCTGCAAGGCAGCCTGGAGGCCAGAGCCAAGCCCAGCCAGACGGGGTCAGCCCCCTGAGCCTGCCACAGAGGCTGCCGTGAGCGGGGGTCTGCACAGTGTCGGGGCTTCCCAGCCCGTGGCCAGATGCTCCCGGGAGAGGTGGGGCAAGGCCTGGCGACTGCGTGGAGGGAGGGCTCTTGTGGCCTGTGGGCCCTTCTCCTGGGGAGAAAGACCCAGGGCTGTGGGTCTGCCCTGGGTGTCTTTGGGTTTTGTCTTTTTAAAAATATTATTTTAGTGATAGAGGGACACACAATATCTTTGTTTACTTATTTATTTTATGTGAGGCTGAGGATGGGGCCCGCACCTCCCACATGCCAGGTGAGCGCTCTGCCCCTGAGCCCCGGCCCAGCCCTGTCTCTGGGTTCAGCAGCACAGTCTGACCACTGGCATTTGCCATCCTCTTGTAAGTTGCCTGGTTGTGATTCCCCTGTTCCCAGAGTGCCTTTTGCTGATTTGTAGGACACACACACACACACACACAATTTTCTTTTTAGTTGTAGTTGGACCCAATACCTTTATTTTATTTATGTATTTTTATGTGGTGCTGGGATGAGCCTCTTCCCAGCGCCCCACATGTGTAGGCAAGCACTCTACCACTGAGCCACGACCCAGCCCCACGATCTTCTTTATTGCAGTAAAGTACACATAGCATAAAACTTACTGTCCTAACTGTTTGAAGTGTGCAGTTTGGTATTATCACCTCCATCCCTAGTTGTCACGTCCCATGACTAAACACTCAGGGTCACTCCAGGGGAACTGGGCTGCACGAAATGACCACACAGAGACAGAGAGACCTTTTGCTTTGGGTCCTGTGACGACTCCTCTGACCTTAGGGATCCGTGGAAAGAGAGAGCACTGACCCCTGTTATTGAGGAGAAGCCATTCAAATGAGGCAGGGGGTCAGGGTTCAGGGGGCTGAGTCCAGCTTCCTGATGTCCACTGTCAGCAGGTTGACTGACACCTAGGAAGGCCACACCCAAGGGCAGAGCAAGAGAAGGGGACACACAGAGGGCGTTTCCATGGGACATTCTATCCCAAACAGGGCAAGGGGGTAGGATTACAAAGGAACAGGTGAGTGTAGCTCAGCCCCAGGGGTGTGCCTGCTCAGAAGGCTGGCCTTGCTGTCCGAGCGGGTCATGGCCCGACCACGCCAGACTGCAGTGACCTTTCAGATCCCCGTGGTGCACCAGGACTGGAAGGCGTGGTCACACCCCGTGCTGGGCACCACCCCCAACTGAAGCCCACTGCACAGGAGTCCCCGGTAGTGCGTCCTCCCCTCTGTCCCTGTGCATCTGACTAGTGCCGGAGATGCCCGTGGTGGCTCCTGTGATTTTGGTCCTCTTGTGCCTGGCTTACTTCACTTAATGTGAAGTCCCTAGGCCTCCTTCCTTTTTAAAACAGGGCTGCCCCGCGGAGCGTCTCTGGTCCGTATCTCCCTCCACCTGTGGCTGGACAGCTGGTGGCTCCAGGCTCTCAGTGCTGTGAAGGGTGCCACTGAGCCTGAGTGTGCGGGACCCCTGGAGACCCTGGCCGGCAGTGCGCCTGGACACTCCCGGGAGTGGCTGGTGGAGCACGTGCCAGGCTCCAACTGCTGCCCGTGCCTCTGACGGTGCTGCCCTCTGATTTCTGTCTTGTGGGAGCAACACTGGCGGGCGAGGGGGTCTCCCCTGGCTTTGGCCTGGTTTCCTGATGACAGTGCAGCTGAGCAGCTTCTCGCCTGCCTGTTGGCCATGCGTGGCCTTTCCTTAGAAACGTCTGCCTAGGGCCTGGGCCCGCGTTTGATTCAGGCTGCTGGCAATGTTGTTAGGCTCGGGAGTTCTTTATGCGTTCCGGACACCAGCCCTATGCCGTGCATGATCACGGCGCCTCCTCCTGTTCTGTGGATTCCCTGGACGCTCGGTCCATGGCGCCTGGTGATGCCAACATTTTAGTTTTGTGAGTTGGGTCTGGTTTTGCTTCTGCTGCCTGTGCCTTTGCCAGACTTGACGAGCCACTGCCGATGTCAGGGTGCGAGGTCACCGCCCTGTGTTCTCGGAGTTTTATGGTTCTGGACGTGTCCTGTGCAGGTCACAGACCTGTTTCAAGCTAGTTTATGTGTGCGGGGTCAAGGAAGGGTCTAACTGTGGGTGGCATTTCCCCAGTTGAGGAAAGACTCCCCCCCACCTGGCTGATTTTCGTGCCCTTGTTAAAAACCACATCACGTGTCTGGGCTCTCTCATGTACCTCGACTCTGCCCGCAACACTCTGGGTTGGTGGCTGTGGCTTTTTTTTTTTTAAAAAGAGAGAGAGAGGGGCTGGGGATGTGGCTCAAGCGGTAGCGCGCTCGCCTGGCATGTGTGCGGCCCGGGTTCGATCCTCAGCACCACGTACAACAAAGATGTTGTGTCCGCCGAGAACTAAAAAATAAATATTAAAAAAAAAAATTCTCTCTCTCTCTCTCTCTCTCTCCCACTCTCTCTTTAAAAAAAAAAAAAAGAGAGAGAGTCAGAGAACTTTTTTTAATATTTATTTTTTAGTTTTCGGCGGACACAACATCTTTGTTTGTATGTGGTGCTGAGGATCGAACCCGGGCCGCACACATGCCAGGGGAGCGCGCTACCGCTTGAGCCCCATCCCCAGCCCCAAGGTGGCTATAGCTTTGCAGTGAGTTTTGAAGTCAAGAAGTGAGGGTCCTCTGGCTTTGTTCATTTTCGAGACGGTTTCGGCTCCTTGGATTCCTTGAGATTTCATATGAATTTTAGGATGGTTGCTGTTTGTCTATTTGCTTGTTTGGGTACCAGGGATTAGACCCAGAGGCCGTAACCACCGAGCTGCATCCCCACCCCTTTTTAGTTTTTATTTTGAGACAGGGTCTTGCCAAGTTCCTGGGGCCTTGATAAGTTGCTGAGGCTGGTTTGGAACTTGCTATCCTCCTGCCTCAGCCTCCTCAGTGTCTGGGATGACAGCTGGAAAGAGAGAGAGAGAGAAGACTCCGATTACTGAATCATGAATGAAAGTGGAGAGAGCAGTCCAGTTAGAGAGAGGCAGGAGATCTTGTAGGAGAGTCTTGGGCAGGTCCCGCTCCCAGCTGCCTTTCACGGGAGTTTCAGTGTGGGTCGCGGTCAACCCATAGATGGATTTGGGTAGTCTGCTATGTGACGATGTTGAGTCTTCTGATTCCCGAACACGGAGCCTCTGTCCTTTTACCTATGCCTCTTTTGATTCCCTTCAGCAGTGTCTGGTAGGTTCACTGTGTGAGCCTTCCACCTCCAGCTTAACCTCTGAATATCTTATTCTTTTTGATGCAATAGTAAAATGTTTTTTTGCTTTCTTTCGGGTTGTTTGTGTACAGAAGTGCAGCTGGTTTTTGTGTTGGGTATGTATCTTGCTACTTTGTGGGGTTTTTA